AAGGCTGGGCACGGAGGCCCCCAGGCCGGGGCAGGAGGCTCCTGGGCACACGGAGGCACACAGCTCCACAAGGGAGAGCCCATGGCGTGGGGGACGGCTGATGTGGCAGGGTTTCTCCCTTGGGTGGTGGTGGTGCCTCCCACCATGTTGCAGCGCTCCGGGATGAGCTGGCTGTTCACTGAGTGCCTTTTATGGAACAGGTCCTGTGCCAGGGACAGGAGAATGAATGGGACCCCACCGTGCCCTCCAGGAGCTCAGTCTACAGACGGCCAGCCAGCCAGACCACGTTGCTTAGTAAGGGGGCCGAATGGCGCCCTGCAGTGAGCACCGGGCGGGGTGGGGGTGGCCAGGAGCCAAGCCGAGAGGTACCTAACTCGGACTGGGGCTCAGGGAAGCCTGGCCCAGGAGCTGACACTTGAGCTCAGTCCTTTGAACAAGAAGGGAGACAGGGGAGCTGAGAGACCCACGCAAAGAAAAAAGGCAAAGAAGGGGAAGACGGCCCAGCGGAGAAAAGTGGACCACGAGACGTTGGGAGCAAAGGGTCTCTCCCTGTGTGTGGTCCTGGGATGCGGAGGACCGTGGGGGTGAGGAGACGGAGCAGTGGATGTTTCCGGGGGGCCCAGAAAAGGCTGCTCTTGGATCTGCATTTATTGCCGGCAGGTAGGGGGCCAGGCCTGGAGCCGAGACGGCGGGCAGGCGGCGGATGCACCGGCCCAGGGCAGAGAAGGCCATGGCCTCGGTCACGGCCGTTCAGCCCTTTTTGAAGAGGGAGATGCGTAGAAAGACCATGTGACCCATCTTTCTGTCCTGGCCCCCGGGCCAGCTCTTGCCTGGCCTTGAGTCCCTGCTCCCCTTTACTCCTGTGCCTTTCAGCTCTACGCTGGGGCTCCCCGGGGTCACAAGCTGGGTTTGGCTCCTCTGCTTCGCACATTCGTGGGGTTCCCCTTCCTCTCGCTTGCCTTCCACACCCCTGCCTGGCTCTGCTCCCACTCCTCTCCGGGCTGGGGGCCCCCAGGCAGGGGTCTGCCGGATAATCGCGGCCCTCCCGACGGGCAGCAGAGTCCCAGGAGAACACAAAGCACACGGGCTTTGGAGTCTAACACGACTGGCCTGGCGTCCCAGCGTCAACTTTAGCTCAGAGCCTGCTCTCTCGGTGTCTGCCCACCCACCTCCCCCGGGAACAGCGTTACCAGCCAGTTTGGCGTGCGGCTGTGGGGATCACAGGAGGGCATGTGTGTGGAGGGATTTAGCGCCATGCCGGGCACACGGGTGTAGCTATCGTTCTACAGGTGGAGAACCGGGGGACACTGCTTGGCCCCAGCTAGCGGTTCTGTGGTCCCGAGATTGCAGGGCCCTGGCTCATTGATAGCCTGGCCCAGCGCACCTGGAGGGGGTACTCAGTGAAGCCAGCGGATGTCCCCAGAAGACAGCCCCCGCCAAGAGCAAAAGCCCTATGTCCCCAGTGGAAGCAGGCAGTGTGTACGGGAATTTCCGGCCATGGGGCTCCCAGGCCAGAGCTGCCCTTTGGGGGTCCGCCACGGGGTGGGGAGCGCGAATGGTCCTTTTGGCTACTTTTCAAAGCAGAGGGACTTCCAAGAGGATTCGGGGAAGGAAGGCCAAGACGCCTAGGTTCTCATAAATCTTTTAATAAGGGTAAATGAAGAAAACATTGTAACAGTTAAGTCCCGTGGTGAGGGGTCCTTTATCATCCGGGGATCTTCAACCACAGAAACACCTAAGACTAAAATTCTAGAATGCTAGGTACACAAATTAATGACCATTTATTTCCAAAGGTGACTGCGGAAACCATTTTGGTACAATCAAAAGGTTTTTACAAAACAGAGAAAACGCATTACAAAATGCCCCGGTAGGTGAGCAAACTGGTTTGGGGGGGGGCGGTGGGCGGCAGCGAGCACACCAGCTTGGCAAAAATATAGGGGGCTTACGAAGACTGGTTCTAAAGGGGGCCCCTGGGTGCGGAGTGCCAGGGAGGGGTCTGCCTAGTACACAGCAAATCCACCTGGGGATGGGGAAGGATTGGGGGGGGGGCGGGCCAGAGGCATTTGCCAATTCCCTGGCAAAAATAAGACCATCTTATTCTCTCTACCACAGTAACACCGATATAAATGAAGAATTCTTTATAGTACAAAACTCACACTGAAAGAAAGCAAGTTTCCAAAAACAACAGCTTTGCTTGAGACGACTTTTGCTTTGTTTTGTTCCGTGCCACGAGGAGCAAACCAGTGTACAAAAAAAAAAAAAAAGGTAACAGGGGCAACAACAAGCCATTAGGTTTTCCTGAGCACGGACTGGCTCACTCTATATACAGAAGAAGAAGGTTCACTCCCTCTCCCAGACTCTACCTCCTCCGGAAGGGCAGGGCAGGGCAGGGCAGTGCGTGCGGTGGGGGACCCCTCCCCAGGCGGGGGCCTGCTGAGGAGCGCGCCAGGGCCCGAAGGACACCCCCCCCCGTCTGCTCTCGATCTACCAAAACCAGTACCCGCATCTTGTCCCTCTTGTCTCCTCCCTCACCTCCCCTTCAGTCTCCCAAAGAGGACAGAGGACTCTGGATCAATGGCTACAGATCCAGGGAGGGGGAGGAACGGCTTTCTGGTACCCACCCCCGGAGCTGCCCAACTCAGCCTGGGGGGCCCCACCAGGCCCCAACACCAGTGCATGGAGACAGATGGACAATGTGCTGTTGGTGGGGAGCTGTGCCCACTCCACAAAACACTGAATTAGCAAGGAGCACAGAGAGGAGAACCCTGACAGAGGCTAGGCTGGAGGTAGCAGACGGCAAAGTAAGTTGACTGTCCCACTAAACCCGACCGCCCTCTGAGCGGACAGACGAACGTGTCCCTGGGCCTCCAGGAAGAAGACGGGGGCCGGACCATCTTTGGTGTACAGAACCCAGTACTGGGAAGAGGGATGGGGCCGGAAGCAGGCGTGATCACCTCGGCTATTCTGAACTGCTGCCGCAAGCTGGCCAGCAAAGCGGACCCTTCGCGTTGGCCCAGATCCTTGGCAGAGGCTACCCAAGGGGCTGGAGAAGCACTCATTTCCCTTCCTGGGGCTGTTTGAAAAGAAACTGTCCTCTTCTCTGAACGCTCTCAGGCACACACACGGTGAGCTCCCATGCCCTGCCAAATGGCATCTGGAACGTTGGCCAAGGTGGCTGCGGAACCTCCTTGGTCCTGCCAGGAAAGCCCTAGGCAGGAGCTGGGAAGCCTGGGCCCCTGGCACGGGGGGCCACCCTCCAAGGCAGGCTGCCTTAGGTGGGCTCAGGTTCTCTCTGTCTCCACGGGCCGGGCCCAAGGTAAGAGGTGCAGACCATGTCAGGTGCTTGCCGCACCCCCATACCTCGAACACAAGCTGCGGGTCCCCATGCGGCCTATGGACTGGGCTCACTCTCTCTTCCCTCCACCTGTATGTTTCTGAGCCCCCCCTGGCCCTACGGCTCACCTCCACCTCCCTCTTCCCCTGACAGGTGGAGCTGCCTCTGGCCTGGCCAGGCACGTGGCTTTCCCTTTCTTCTTTCCTTCCAAGCAGCAGTGAGGATCAGCCAGAATGGGGCACTGAGCTATATAACCAGGGCAAAGGCGAGCTTCTAGAAGCATGCGGCTGCCGGAAAGCCCGGGCTGACTGGCCACCTGTGCCGTGCCACAGAGACAGGGAGGAAGGGCGAGTCTGCAGAGTCCCTGCACCACCCCAGCGCTGAGCATCTGCCCCACCCAGGCTGCTCCCCGCCCACCCCCCCAGAGCCACACACCATCTGCCTATGGAAGACTCTGTGTTCTGGAAGGGGACAGGACATGCCTCCAGGGGCTCCTCCTGTGACCTCCTTCCAACCTCTCTTTTGGTAAAGAGCCAAGGGGCACTGAGGCCTTGGGCATTTTCTTATCGGCCATCCCTATGGCGGGCAGGGTGGATCCAGTTGCTCAAGAGGGGCCCTTCTGGAGGACACCCCGACGGTAAGAGGCCCTGAGACAAACTTGGCCAAGCCCTCGGGGGTTGGGGGGGTGCTGAAAATGAAGGGTATGTGTCACGAGGAGCTCAAGGGGAGTCAGAGTACTCTGACTCTTCTCCGTCGGGCTCCCCCACCACGTCCTGGGAACTGACCATCTCCGTGCCAGCAGGCCTCTGCAGAAGGGCGGTCCCTCTCGCGGCTGCTTCCTGGGCCTCACCTTGCTCCAGGAGACTCTCCTGCACCCTGCTGCTTTCTGTAGGTCCGACCACTGAGTCACTGCAGCTCAATCTAGGTCTATTATAATACAGGGGTGGGGTGGTGCCATCAGAGGAAGTCACTGAACCACCTTTTCTGTTCTTAGGCAAACTTGTTCTTAGTTAGAGTCCACAAGGAGTCAGCAAATGCCCTGCCACTGGTTCCCTCCTTGAAGTCCCTGCGTGACTGAGCTCAAGTCTTTGGACAAAAGGTCTTCCTCTTGAAGCACTTGAACCTGCACCCACGGGGACCTGATTTCTTGGCACCTCCTTTGCAACCCAGACATGGGCTTTGGGGGTGGGCTTGGCGGAGGGTGGAGGAGTGTGTGATGCCCCCATGCGACACAATTCGGCATGGAATCTGGCTGTGGTGATGACACGTGGCCCCCTAGGGTAACAACACCAGCGGGATCTGTATCTTCTTCCCCCAACCCAGGATGCTGACATAGCCTGTGAAAGCACAGAACGGATGGATAGGAGACCCTGCAGAGACAGGCCCCTGACACAAGGATTCTCCGAATTCAAACATCCAAAAACAAGGGAGCAAATGAATTAAAAAAAAAAAAAAAAAGCAAAAAAACCAACTCCAGCTCATCCTTCCCTGAAGCTGCCTTTTACAGAGAGAGAGAGAGAGAGAAAGAGAGAGAGAGAGAGAGAGAAACACTGAGGGGCACTCAAGATTAAAATGGCATCTCCTATCAAACATTCAACTAAAATGGAGCATATGATTCAAATCACAGTTTTCTCAAGTTACCACTTCTGTTGATGAATTTTTAACACTCACTTCTGATCGGGATATGGGTCACTTCTTGGCTCTCTTGGGCAGAATTTACCCAAGGTCCTGCCTAGTAAAGAGTGGTGGCTATTTTCCACTTGTTCACTTTGGATCTGCCACCGCAACAGCTCTCCATCCCCCTCAACGGAATCCTGCCCTGGGGCCAAGGAGCGCCCCCACCTCCCACCCGCCCACCGCAGGCAGCATTTTGGAGGGAGTGGCTGGTTGGCTGCTTGTTCTGAGTCATGGGACACCAGTGGGAAGACTCCGGCAGGTTCTATTTTGGCCATGAGCTGGGAAATCCCTTGGCTCTTGGCTTGCCGCTGGTATAGAAACAAGGCCTCGGTCCCATTATGGTGGGGGCTGTGCTGGAGACAAAAGGGGGACCCCAGCGTAAGCCTGGAGGTCCCTGGCAGTGGAGAAATGAAACCCAACCCAACCTCATCACTTCAGTGCCAAGAGAACTGCCACTTGTTGCTTCCCATCCTCTCAACCAGCTGTCCTTAAAGCACCAACAAGCAGAGTGAAAACCACTGACTACCGTCGCCCATGTAAGGCCACTAGGGGCAGAGAGGAAGAGCCAAACGGGAGGAGGAAGAATCCAGCCCTCGGCAGGATATTACCCCCCCTCCCCGCCCCCGCCCCAGGCTCCAGGAGATATCCTGGGGGGGGGGGCAGGGCTGGGGAAGGAAGCGTGGTGGAAGAAAGGGACAGAGAGGAGAAGGAAAAAGAAATACACCAAACATCCTACTGCCCTCTCCCCATGATTTCATCAAGAACTGGGTGTTCTCCAAGTCAAGTCAGGACTTGCTTCCTCGGGGAGGGAAAAAAAAAAAAAAAAAAAAAAAGACAAGCACCTTCAGTCTATTTTCTTGGCTGGAAGCCGGAGCAAATCCAGCAGATATTTACACAAGGGCCCAGCCATGTATGAGAACAGGATGACCAGCTTCCCGTGGGTCATGGTCATGAGAGTCTGGTGTCCCGAGGCCCAGATGCGATACCAGGGGCCGTAGAATGGGTCTGAGATGGCCGGACACAGCATGTTGTTCAAATTCACTTCGGTGACCTGCAGGGACAAGGGAGGTAGAGTGAGCGTTCACCATCCTGAGGCTTTCTCTGGCTTCTGCCAGTTCAGCCATCTCTACCTAATGGGGGACTAGACAAGGAGGGATTGACCAATCCCCACCTGTTCATGATGGGATTTCTCTGCCCTCGGGTTTTGGGGAGTGGGTCAAGGCTAGAGCCCTGGGGAAGTGACTGGGGAGGCCATCCATTGGAAAAGCTGCCTGGTGTTGCTCAGTCTTGCCTTCCGGTTGGGTCCAGAGCCTGCCGTCATTCGTAAGCATCTACCATGTGCCTAGTCCCCGGAGAGGTGTCAGGGGATGACAGAATAGTCAACGACATGGTCCCTGCCTCCACATATAACTGGCAACCATCCGAGTTGGTTGGGCAACCACATCTGACTTCAAACCAGATGATGCTCACCGGGTCTCCCCCACCATGAGATCGGAGGAGGGTACAGAATGGCCACCGAGTCCTCACAGAAGATTTCACGAAGTAAGTGGCACCCTGAATGGACTCATGAAGGATGGATGGAGGTCATGGCGAGGAATGGAGTGAGTGGGGCCTTCCTTGTAGGAGGCGCGGCCTGGCCCAGGCCTGCAGGTGGGACTGAGCATGGTATGTATGGTGACATGAGGACACGGACCCCTCCGGAATCAAGCAGTCCCAGTGGCGAGCGCTCAGAGTAAGGTGTGAAAGTCATCCTCGAGTGTGGGAGCATTCACACCGCTGGCAAAGAGCTCAAACTGTCCCCTAGGCAAACCAGAGCCGAGCAGTACGCCAAGGTGGGGAAGAGAGAGGGACTGCTCCTCCCGAGCCACTGGTGACCTCAGTCATGTGCCTTAGTCCGGCCAGGCCCCACGACTACATTCATGCTGCTCGCACACAAAACCAGACCTGCCGCTCCTGCCCCGAGGACGGCCGCAGCACCTGTCTTCCAAAGCCCTTCCAGCCCATCCACGTTAGAGACAAGTCCTCACCACCTCTCGGGGAGGCTGGGGGTTTGGTTCCATGTCACAGAGGGGTGGAGAGCTCTCTGCCCTCGACGGTGAGGTGACTCAGCCAGAAGAGTGGCAGAGCCAGGCCTTGACCTTGGGTCTCCTGACCCCCCCGCCCCCCCGCAGCCCTGAGTTCTTCCTCCTTTGCTTTGCCACCGATAGAGACACCCATGCGCTCAGCAATGTTGGGCTCTGGATAACTCAACTACTGAGTCCAGCCATCATCCATGCTCCGGGCGCGTCTGAACACCGCAGAATGCCACGGGAGTCCCCGCCGACACGGCACTTCCACTGGCCACACAGCTCAGGGCCTGAGAGTTGGCCCAGAATGGACCCAAGGTCGGAAGCCTCCTCTCCAGGCCCAGGCCAGGGTCAAGGTCCTGCCTTCCCCCTCACAGGGTTTTCGACCTGGGTGGTCGTGAGCGAAGGGCATCCTTGCCTCCCCGGGGATGAAAGAAACGGTCAACACTGAAGGCTTCCGAAAACCCTTTGGAGAGGCCCAGGCCATGGAGCATAAATCAGCAAACCCAGACACAACAATCTGACATCCTGGCCTTTGGCATCTTGTATTTTCAAAACAAAACGATACGCCAGCGCCAACCAGGATTATCAAGATTTATGGAGAACTCCGCACAGAGGGGGATCGAAGGGGACCGAACCAAACTTACCAGGCCCAGGATCTGCAAGACGCTGAAGTGGTAAAAGAACATGAGGCCAGTTGAGAGAAGGGCCCACCGGAAACTGCTGAGGGGCTCTGGGGTGTAAGCACCTGGAGGAAAAGGGGAGATGGTGAGACTCACTTCTCCTTTGCCCCTTGAGGGTGCAGGTGCCAAGGCCGCAGCTGCGCCAGTGGACTGCCCCCTCTCGCTACTTAGAAGACGGGCCCACAGACGCGCTGGCACTCCAGCCAGCCCCCTTTCCATCCTCTGTTCTGCCACACACTGCCGAGGCCGTTACAGAGGGGGGATTTTTTTTTTTTTAATGATGAAAGGAATGCATGCTTGTTAGAGGAAATTTAGAAAATGTTATAGGAGTCGAAACGAGATGGAGAAAACGAAGAACAACACATCCCGGGCATTCTACTCCCCACACACGACGCTGCTAACTTGTGGGTGTTATGTGCCGGCTATGTTCCCTGTGCCTCAGGAGTTGGTTGGTTTGTTTGTTTTTTTTCTTCTTAATTACTAATTGGAGTCTAACAGTATATATAATCTGCACCCTTCACTTTCACATTTATTTTCATCTTTCCCTCATGCTTCTAAAGAGAGATGTCTTTGAGGAAGTGTGGCGCGGTGGTTGGGAAGGTTCACTTTCATGGCCCACAGATTTGGGTTCGAATCTAGATTCTACCATGTCCGGGCTGTGCGGTCCTGGAAAAGTTGTGGAAACTCCCTAAGTCTCAGCTTTCCTACCTGTGAAACGAAGATACCAGACCTACCTACTTCTTAGAATTGTGGCAAGGAATGACGGGAATAATGTACTGAGGGCTCGCAGTGTAGGATTGGGTACAATGTGAGTGTTCAATGGGTGTGAGATGCTATCATGAGCACATCATTATCACGCTTCGGATAACTACAGAATGTGCCGTATCCAATGGCTATGCCATTTCCCGACCGTTACACAACTCCCTCCCCCCTGGAACAGCAAGAATGATGTCTTTCCCCACCAGCGTCACTAGGAACTACCCTCCCGGGAGGCTTGGATGCATTCCAGAGCTTGCAGAGCAGGGGTACGGCTTATCGGATGCTGTGGGGGTGTCACTCCAAACGAGGGCTTGGGGGGGGGGTGCTCCAGAATAAAACGAAGCTAGACCCCTCCATCCCAAGCAAGTAGGTGGCAACATTACATCCTGGAATAGTATTTTCCCAAGTCGGTCTTTCACTGATTCATCCATTCATTCACCAGTTATCAGGCATCTATTACGTCTCCAAGCTCCGTGCTAACTGTCGGGGTATAGGAAGATGAAGAAGACAGGCTCCCTGCAATCCCAGACTCCCAGCCTGCCGGGGGAGGCAGACACGCCAATCGACAATGAGAACCCAGTACGATGGTGAGATGCCTCTGCTCTGTGCCCCATTATCATGGGAGGACAGAACTCAGCTGGAGGCGGGGGTCGGGGGGAGACCTAGGAACAAGGACTGCTTCTCGGTAGAGGGGGCACAGAGCAGTCCTGAAGGACCAATGGGACTTAACCAGGGGCCCAGGTGTTCCAGAACCAGCAGCTCGCACAAAGGCAGGCATGCAGACATGAGCTCCCGGGCGCAAGGCAATTCGGAGAACCACGGGTAAGAGTTGGGGCCGCAGGGGAGGGGGTGGTGGGGTGGTGAGCAGGAGTAAGACTCGGACGTTGGTTGAGGGCTGGTTTGGGCTTCAGCCCATACCTGCAGGGCCATGAGCCCCAATGCCACAAGTCTCAGGTAGGCAACTGGGAGAGGAGAGTGACCAGAGACTAAGAGACACTAAGGATGCTGGGGACTGGCCAAGTGGAAAGCCCGTGCCCCTTCTAAAGATGGCAACCACCACTCAGCTCCATCCAACCAGTGCCCTGCTGGGACGTGTTCCCAGAGTTGCCAGTTTTTTTCAGTTTTGCAAGAGGAGCCAGAAATATGAACTTTTGTGTTGAATTTCCTGATTTTTAAATGTTGGCAAATAATTCAAAATGTTTTAAGAATGCTCAACGGACCAAACAAAACACGTCTTCTTGGATGGATTTCAGCCTGTGGATGGCCAGCTCGGAGCTCTGCTGCGGAGCCACAGGAAGCAGCAGGAAAGTGATGTGATCAGACGTGTGCTTGAGAAAGGTCCTGCTGGCCGGTGTGGGGGAAGGACCGGAGGCAGAGAATGTCGAGGCAGGAGGGTGGACAGGAGGCTGCTGCAAGAACCCAGAGAAGTAGGGGATGGACGGCCCTCAAAGGTCATAGAGGTAGGGCTGGCGAAAAGTGGAAGAAAATCTCACCAGGATGTGAGGGATGGATGCTGGGGAGGAAGGGTGAGGACAGACAAATCTAGAAAGGCCTCTAGCTTGGGCCTCACTGGGTTGATGGTGCCATTGATTGTGATGGAGAAGAGGGGAGAAGGCAGATTGCGGCAGAAGGTAGGGAGGCGATGAAGCCGATTTCAGACATGTTGAAATCGAGGCGTCTGCAGAATATCCAAGTGGACATGTCTCACTCGGTTTCACTCATCTATAAAATGGGGTGCCACTGCCTACTTCATAAGGTTGTTGGGTAGATGAGATGACCTGATTTAAGTCACGTCACACACTCAACGGAGATGTAGGTGTCAGCAGCACCCGACGGCCACTAAAGTCACAGGGGCACATGCAGACTGGGAAAGGAAGGTCAGAGGCGGAACCCCAAGGAACACCATGGGCGGGGGGTGGGGTGTGGCAGGGAGAAGGAGTGAGGTGGGGTGACTGAAGTCAGGCGGGTCTTCGGGGGGAGACGCTCAGGCTTGCTATGGGCACGAGAGCCGGGCTCACAGCACCTGTGAATCCGAAGGCCCTTGGAAGGCATCAGACTCATTCCTCCAGGTTAGAGATGGAGACACGGAAGGCCGGGAGATGGGTAGCAGAACCGCCAAAGTCAGAGCAGGGCGCTGGGCTCTTAGACGCTGCCAGGCCGCTTGCTGCTCGGTGCCCCTGTTGCCACTTGTCCAGACCACCACCACACCAAGTCGTACAGTCTCTCTCCTTGTCTGTCTACCTGTCTAGACCAGAGCACCTGGTCGGGGGGGGGGGGGAAGGACATCCTGTCGGATTCGTTTCTGGGTCCCTAGCATCTGGCACCGCGCTTGGTTTGTGAAAAGCCACTGAGCTGCGCACTTACACTTTGCACACCTTCCTGTCTGCCGAATGAATGGGAATCGGGCACCGTGTTGTCCCCCTGGCTGCTGGGGGTATTAAGGGGAAGAGGGGACCTGGAGGACCAGCAGGTGCTCAGGCTCCTGCTCAAACCTCTCAAGGCTGGAGCTAAGCCCCGCCGCCCCCGCCCCCCGTCCTCTGCTTGGCTCCCCCTCGTGGCAGCTGGGCAGCAGTGACGGGTCCCGTGGGCCAGGTGGCCACTGCAGCTAAGGGACGGGAGGGGGTGGCCAGGAATGTCCTCAGCCTCGAGGTAGCTCAGCCACAGACCTGGGGAAAGCTGGGATGAGGCCCGGACTGCTGGGCAGCCCCTCTCCTTATCACGCTCCTCCCCTGCCCCGCAGTCCCTGCCCCCATGTGATAGGGGAGAGGCACACTCAGACATGGCCAGGGGTCCACGTTCTCATTGCCCCTTGCCCCAACCCCCACTTTACTACCACCACTCTGGGTTGCCCCATCCTCCCCACGCCAGACTGTCAGTTCTATGAATGAGGGGCCGTTTCAGAATCCCTTTACCTCCAGCACCTGGTACACAGTAGGCACTCCAAAACTCACCACGGTGTGAGCGATCGAACAGCACAGACCTTCCAGAGAATCATCAAACTCTATCAAACCCTTTGGCCTGGCAATCCTACTTTGAGGACTTGCGTCGAATACCTAAAGAACCCAACAGACCATCCTTTATTTGCACAAAGATATTTATACCCGCGCCACCTGTAACACCGAGGACCGGGAAACAAACCAAATGGGGAGATAAGGTGAACTCTGGCACCTCGATGTTGTGCAACCGCCATTCAAATGACAAGCAAACCATGAGCGTGTGAGGAAAAGTCCCTGGCTGGTAATGGCAAGTGTCGAAGGCGGAACACGAGACAACATGCCACGGATGGAAAACAGAGCCTGGCGGTTTAACGCAAAGGGCTGGGGGGCGGACAGCCTTGCGTGGGAAGCCCGCCTCTGCCACTGCTTATGGGGGTACCTGGGGCAGATGGTGCTGCCCCTCTCCGTTTCCCGTATGAAGACTGGAGGTAACACCCACCTCTCGGGGCTGCCGAGTGGAATAAGAGATACAGAAAAGTAAATAGAGCAGCTTGCCTGGCACACAGCGGGCGGCTGCTATTTTTATCATGGCGAAACCACAGCCATCCCAAACCTCCGAAAAGACTGGGAGAAGCCAGGGGCTCTTGCAAAGAAGGGATCTTCTCTGTGAAGGGTGTGTGCGGGGGGGTTGCCTGTGGTTTCTACTGCCTTTCCACTGTTGTTGGTTCTTATCACTGTACAGATAATCAAAGATTCAATTTCTCTGAAACTAAAAAAAAAAAAAAAAAAAAAATCAGAAAGCAAGCAAGCACCCTGAGAATAAATGATCCACTCTACATAGATATATGCAAATTGTACGTAATGGGCATCATTCCTTTTCTTTTTCCATACACCTGAATGTGGCCCTTGGGATAATCCGAGTGAAAAACCAGTTTTCTTCTAAAGGAAAAGAGAAACTTAAGCACTTTTGGAAAAATTAAACACATAAAACTTTTTTTCTACTTTAAGAAAGAAATGTGACATTTTTCTGCTAGCGTCGTGTATCCCAGGAGGATAGAAGCGTTTCATCTCTAAAGGTGGGGTGGGGGGAGCCAAGATAATAGCTTTTTCTGAAATCGATTTCCGCCAGAAGGAAGCGTCACACGTGCTGGAAAAGAAGTCACCTGCACCACCAGCAGCAGCAAAGACAGATCCCCAGAGGCCTCCCAGGGGCCCTTTCTCCCGTCCTATAATTCCACCCAGGAAGGACTTACATCAAGAAGACGAGGCCGGGCAGGGTGGCATCCCGTTCCCCAGTCTTTGTCCTGCTCCCTTCAACTCATTCGCTTCATCCAATACTGGGCACCAGACCCCATGCTAGGTGGTGGGGA